CCTCACACAGTATTCCTGGTCGAATGGTACAATGCGCTACACCTGATGTACATAAATGTCTTAGCTACTGATGCTATGTAGAAACATATTGCAGGCTGCAATTATTTTGTCACAACACTTCGTGGAAGAGACCTACCCCTAGTGAATTGGCAAAATGGACAAATCTGAGTACAGAGCGTTGATAAAGTTCCTTGTCCTAGAGGGTCAATTTGCCAAACAGGTGGAAGAGAGATTGAGAGTCTTCCCCATCGGCTGCAACTATCAAACGGTGGGTGAAGGAATTTCAGCGTGGCAGAGAGAGCTTAGAAGATGATGCCCGGTACGGACGGCCATCAACCAGTACCAGCCCTGAAAACATTGACACTGTACACAAACTAGTGATGGAAAACCGCCGTATTACTCTCCATGAGCTAGAAGAAACAACAGGCCTATCATATGGATCCATTCATAATATAATTAATGGCAAACTCCACATGTGTGCCAGACAAAGTGTGTGCCAGATGGGTCCAGAGAATGCTACGGATGACATGAAGCTATCAAGGGTCACCATCAGTGGAGCCTTGCTAACTCGGTACAACGCCAACCCAGATGATTTTCATTTTAGGATTGTAACCAGTGATGAAACCTGGGTTTATCATTATGATCCGGAGAGCAAACAGGAGTCGATGGAATGGAAACACCCCACTTCTCCAAAGACAAAGAAGTTCAAAGAACCAGTGAAATTGGTTAAAACTTAATTCTATTGTTTGGGCAGAAAAGTCATAGGAAATTAATAAGTATGATATTAAAATTAATTTACATGTTTTACATCATTAGAAATTCTTGGTACAAAATCACAACATTTCAACTGGATTTCGTGTCTGTTGGATTCCTTTTCACATTTTAAAACAAGTCAGTTTACGGCTCATCTATTGTCCTAAAAGTAGAAAAATAATAATTTGAAAAATGTGGACACTTAAAACATGAGGGCTTTAAAAGTTATAATTATATCTAACTTTTCACATGGCTTGATATGGTTTTAGTTTTAGTTTGATGACACTAACAATTTCAAGCAAATTTTAACCAGAGAGTATCCAAGGAATGACAAATACTATTTTTATTTAAAATATGACATTTCTTGACAATTCTTGTTTCATATGTCAGGGGCACTTTTGTGCCAATATATACATCATGCATCAGCAACGTATGAATGTTATTTTGAAACACATTTTGTCACTCTCATTTTCCCGAACCTGTTGTGGAGGATCATCATGGCTGATCAGTGATATCTGTGTAGACGTATTGCGTGGGACACGATTGTTATAGTGAAAAAACAAAATCAGCATGAGCATTGCAGTTACATGAATCACACCCCTTTGTCTTGACCGTAACATCAGTTGCTGATCCTCAGATATATCCACAAAAGCTCAAATCAATAATTCGGTAAAACTTGCATGTGGCGTGTTGATAATCTACTTCCGTTTCCAGGAGCATACATGGTCAAATAGTTTTAATAATACTGCAAGTATATCGTCAAAGTCCCATTGTTTAGTCTTAGTATGATCACTGATACTATGTAATGACGAATACTTGTATGGGGTTCATGGGGTTTATTTTGTCTGTTCTATCGGGGATATGGATACCCCAACACAACATGGATGAGGATAATACCCTTAAACATAATATAAGGTGGAATTAGTGATAAACAAATTACAAGAATATGTAATCAAACAAACATATTATTACATTTACTGTATACCATGAGCATGAAATTAATCATATATTATCAGAAAAACCATCAAAATATAATAATGTATACATACAAATATTAGCACACAATACCAACCTTGTCTCAGGGCGCAGGCTCATCACGGTGAAGCCAACAGTAATGATCTATATGTGCATCTCCCACCTAATTATAAAATGACACAATTATTAAGTAAAATGTATATTATACGCAAACGCAAACGCAAACGCACACACACAAATGCTTTCTCTCTGTCTTTACAGAGTAATAAAAACCAATACAAATTTATCAATACTATTCATAGAACAAGACTAAGATATAAGATCCTAGCCTCCTTATGTTAAATATAGATACTAAATTCTAAATGCTAAGTGTAAATCCACTTCCCCCAATCAGTGAAGTGCAGTGCAGTGCTGTGATGTGATGTGATGTGATGTGATGGTCATGCAGAGAGGAGATTCAGCAGTAGCCAGAGAAGAGGAACATTGAAGCCAGGATTTTTTTAAAGGAGCTACTACCGTATTTAACTCAATTATTTACCTTAGTTTAAAATATATAAGTTAAAATACACAAAATTTACATTCTGCTACATTTATTCTGGATGTGACAAGAGTATTTTCAAATTTACTGTTATTGTTTTGTAAGAAAAGATTATTATCGGACTACCCCTGTCTGTGACATCACATCCGGTGACCTTTGCACTAAAAGAAACATTGCTATCAGATTTCAAGATCTCTTTTTCGTTTCTCTTTCATCATATTAAACGGAAAATGACAAATGAAACACTTTTCGATTTAGAAGAATGTCGCTTTCGCCAAGGCATATCTATGTGAAGGCAATATCTATGTTAAATGCCAGTCAAACAGTTAATATAAACTTTGTTGATATTACAATAGTAATAAGTTATGCTGAGGTCAGTCGAAGTGCGCCATGTTTGATTATTGTATGTGTGCTAGCATTACGACACAGGATTTGTATTTCTGAGCATATTTGAATATTGTCCCATCAACAACATAAATCTAACCATTTGCTTTGGAATTTGAGGGAAACTATTTACAAGCCAATTGTTATGGACCAGTAGATGGAACTGATATGCAGACAGCATGCCCAACTTAACACATGCTCAGGTGTTGGTAGTTGCCCTGTCACAGGTGTGTCCACAGGTGGTGACCATGATGGTCTTCAGCTAAACTCCCATCCCTCCAGATGATGGTAGGTACCAATTGTAGGAACTCCCATCTACCCTGTGCATCCTTGTGCTATTTTACAAGAAACTTGGTCAGCCAAATGAGGTAATGTCAAGCCTTTGTTAGTACAAATGAATGAGTAAGTTGTTGAGTTTGGAATGTATTCTAGGGAGTGTCACCGATGTAGATGTCAGTATTTACACACATGTAATCATGGTCATTGGGTATTTATGTTTTTCTGCAGGCATCAATATATTTAGCTACCTTGAGTCTAGTGTATTGTGTATTATTTTAAAATGAGCGGACATCCTGTTTTAGATTCTGTTGCAGGTGACTTCCTCAACCTAAAGTGTGGCACATGTTCCATAAACTCACAACAAGGCTATATCTGATATTTAAACCAGATAGATACATTTATTTACGAAGATAAACTATTTAATGTAAAAAACAACAGGAATTGCCGCAGATATATATGTTTTAACATCTGCTGGATGTGGTGAGGGTAATGGTTGGGGAAACTGGCATGCAACTAACTTAAAGACCGAATCACTGTACACAGGCAGCAAACTCGACATTCAAATGTATGTTGTAAAAATGAATGCGGGAAGGATCATTTCACCGTCATTCTGTTTTAGGAATGTTTAACAATGACAAACATTTGCGAATGAAAAAACGAACAGATGATCAATAGGCTTTTGAAACCTAAACTTAATTCAAAAGTATAATTTTCAAAACTTCCCAATGTAGTTCAATGTATATTTGTGCAGTGATGAATGTATTTACACCTCCCACTGTTGTCCCTAACTATGGCGTCGAAAGCATTAAGACGTCACAAAAATAATGCTGGCCATAGCCTGTGAGAACATCGTAGTCTCCCTCTGTTGTCTCTAACTGTTATGACTGCTGTTGTGTGTATATGTCTATGTTAAAGTTTGCACTACACCTGAAGATCCGCTGTGCGCCTAAAGGTCTAAAGGTGTTTTGACAAGCACACGTTTTTGTGTGTATGTGTGTCCATAAATATATATATATATATATGTATACATTATTGTCTGCAGTAGTCATGCGCTGCCTGCATTCATTTGATCAGTAAATAAGTGTTGGGATATGCATGCAAGCAGCAGTAGAAACTAACATTTTGGGTCCACTAGTTCTTATAATATAATATACCCGGTATAGCAAAACCCTTACTTGCCTTATGATACCTTAACTATTGGGCAGTTTGGCAAGGACTATAGGACTAGTTCCAATTTTTTTAACCCTGGCAAGCTGATCAATACACACAAGTCAACAAGCAAGTCAAACTTGATTGGGTAATGGTGATGATTTGGAATATATTTTAAGCAGCTATGTAGCTTGTCAGGCACTCTGCCTATACACAGGGTGCATGGAGAGGACATCTGAAAGTTTTCCGGATATTGTTTTTCCAAATTATGGAGAATTACATTACACAAGTGACATTTCTATTGAATAAACAGTGGAAATAAAGCTTACATTTAAACCTAAACTTTTACGGGAAGCAGTCTAAATACAGCAGCTATAGGGCTGTATTCACTCACTCACACACTACAATGTGGAGCCTGCTTCATGTGTCAAGGGAGATGTTTCTTTAGGAGCACTCTATTCTCAGTCTACATGTGGTTAATAATGTAACAAACTGTAGCAAGACTATTTCCTGTGGGGCTGAGATCGCTAACTCAGGTACTTGGGTCGGGTGGGTACTGAGTAGGACCTGGGTACTCACAGGACTACCCAGACCGGTGGTTAGTCATGTGATATATTGTTTGATGACAAAAATTCAATAGAACTCCATGGTTACACTACATGTCACTAATGTTTGCATTTCTCTCTGACCATTCTCTATTTCCTTATGACTTTTATATGTTTGAATAGAGATAAAGCTTCTGTGAACCTCAGTGTATGCCTGACCAGATTGTTTTATATGTATATTTGAAAACTTCTCTGGTAAAGCAATTCTCAATCAGACATGTTGTACCCAACTCTTGAGACCAATAGTGGGTACCAAGGTAGGGTGGGGTAACGGGGTCAAGTTTCTGTGTATCTTTAAGGCTATCTTCTCTTTCCAGATGCTGAAGCTGAAATGACATGGAAATGACACATCATGGACCAAACCTTAACACCTACCTCTCTTAACTGAGCCACATGCAACAAATCAATGACAAGTCATCTCAAGGCAAACAGGCAACCAACACAACTGTTCAACCACAAGATGAGGACTTTCATTCGTTAATGTAATTACTGTGACACTGAAAAAAAGGAAATATTTTTCTTTGTGGAAACCTCACTGACAAAATGCATCATATCAAACATTTCCCTCAATATGAACAACATGTACACAACTTTATGAAACAGTTGCTTCCAAAGCTTTGAGAAGCAGACGTGTATCTACTGAACAGACGTCAACATGATGGAGACCATCGACATCCCCTCTCCGGGGTCCGGTCTGAGAACTGCTTCTCTCACCCTCACACAGATCCTGCTGCTGAATGCAGTGGTGTGTGGAGTAGAGATCTGTGCATGTGCTGGCTTCACATACATCCCACCGATGCTACTCAAGGTGGGCTACTCCGAAGAGACCATGAGCTTCATCTTAGGTCTTGGTCCTCTCCTAGGATTTTTAATTGTGCCCGTCCTGGGCAGAGCGTCTGATCGCTGCCACAGTTTTTATGGTCGACGTCGCCCTTTCATCTTTGCCTTGTCAATGCTCTTACTTGTCTCGCTATATATGATTCCTTTTGGGGAGTACTTCATGACAGTGATATTTGGCTACAGTCATTTGAGTAAGGTGTTGGGGATGTGGTGTTTGACTCTGGGCTCAGTGCTGTTGGACTTCACCAGCCAGGCTTGCCTGACCCCCTGCGAGGCCCTCCTCAACGATGCTTCCATGGACACAGGGCAACATGGACGTGTTTTCTCCATCTACTCCACTATGGTATCACTAGGAGGTGTTTTCGGTTACCTACTCACAGCAATAGATTGGAAATCTAATTCCCTTGGGGTCTACTTTGGCTCTCAGGAAGCCTCAATATTCTCAATACTGATCGTTGTGTTCACAATATTATTAGCTGCCACCCTCATAGTAGCTGAGGAGAGGCCTTTAGCATCACTGGGTCGACAAAACTCATTGCAAGACACAGAAGGAAGTCTGGGGAATTCAAAAGCACAAGAATCTGGCTACAGTAGTTCTTCCTCAGAAGATGTCCCATTAAGTATTTTATCAAATCATAAGGCCAACTTACAGACTTCTAGTCCACTGCGCTCTGAGTGGAGGAGCAGAGCAGCACACACGAGATCAAAACTGCGTTCTGTGATTTTCGGTTTCTTTACTCGCGGTCGCTTCTTATCAAGCATTTGTGACTGTTTTCGACTGATTTCCTGTGGGATATTTTCTTTGTTGCCACAACAACTGCAGCAGGTATTTGACGTTCCCATTGTTCTAAGATACCTCACACTAGCCCATTTCTGTTCTTGGACAGCTCTGATGGGCTTCAACCTGTATTTTACCGACTTTGTGGGGCAAGCAGTCTACAATGGTAACCCGAATGCTCCCAATGGCTCCCCTAGTGAGAACCTTTACGATGAAGGAGTGCGAATGGGCAGTTGGGGGCTTTTGCTACATTGTATAACATCAGCATCATATGCATTTTTCATCGAAAGATTGGTTGACAAATATGGATGTCAGTTGACTTATCTGGTTGGAATGACATCTTTTTGTTTCGCCATGATGGGGATGGTGCTCTTCAGGAATGTGTATATTGTGAATATCATGGCTGCCTTGACGGGATTTGCATATGCCACAGTTACAACTATTCCTTTTATATTAGTGTCAAAATATCACATCGAAAAAGAGGTAAGATCCTTTTTTACTGTCTGATTTTGAAAATAAAGACAGAAATATTTAGTCTTTAAATAGACACAAGCCATTTTGCAATATTCAGAATCTAGTTTGGGATTGCCATTATTGTTGATAAAATCAAGGTGTGGTATATCTTATAGGTGAAAATCTCATATTATGATCCTATACTTGCCCCAGGGCCAGGGCACTCTTGTTAATGACCCCAGATAAAACAGAAATTACATTTTTCACAATGTGGCATCGTTGCCCTATATTTCTGGTACCTGCTTATCACTCTCATAGATAATATCTTATTTGTAAATATTTGAAGCTCTACCTATAAACAGCTGAAATATTTCTTCATGAAATCCAGATCAATTGATTCATATTAACACATGATAAGTATGTCGAGGTGATCAGCTTGATGTTAACCATGTATTAATATTCTACATACAAAATTTGATTATCTTTTTGTCATGACTACGCCTTCATGTTTCAGATATATTTCTTTGATGTAATGTCCAGTGGCAATCAATCTTTGTCAACACGAGGAATAGCTACTGACATGGCTGTGTTAGACTCCGCCTACTTCCTGTCCCAGGTCGTGCTGGCCGTCGCCATGGGCTATATCGTCCACATGACCGGCACTGTCTATGCCTACATGGTGTGTGCTGGCATCATGGGACTCCTTGCTTGTTTCTTTATACAAAAAGTCATCATATCTAAGTCGGACGTCCGAGCTCTCAAGATGAGTGAGAGGCAAAACGTCATCCACAGCTGACCTGAAGTCAATTAGTATACTTGGTAGTGGTTTTAACACTACACAGGCATTTTAGGATATATACTCACCGCCAAAAGAAACATGAACCATAGAAACATATAGAGACGTCGGTACATTAAGAAGAGATGTTTCCAATGTGTACCACTTAATGACAAAACTAACAATCAGTCTAGTGTTCCCACAGAGTTCTATTTTCTTATCACGATATGCTGCACGTGATTTCCAACTTTTACACACTAATGGTGCACAAGACAAATGGTGCATCTCGAGTCATGGATCTATGACGTCACATGTGATGCGTTCATGAGCGTCGGTTCACACAACATACCAGCATGTTTGTTTGTGCATCGAACCAATCTAATATCTCCTGAATATGAGTAAATCTTCATATATTAACCAATATGTATGGCATTCATGTTTCTTTTAGGGGTGAGTATATCTTGTATCCAACATGGGTCATGATACAAAATCTATTACAATACGATGATTAGATATGTCCTTTTGTCTTTGTACTAACAGAGTGTGTCAACTGTTGACGAAGAAAAAAATAGTGCCTCACAGGCAGCTTGGGTTTTGTACATCCCAGGGAGCTGAGAATGCTAAACGAGTGCACACTGATTGATAGACCGGGGTAATGTTAGTGCTTTGAGCATGCACCTTGTGTATGGAGTCTGGCACAATATAAGTACACATTATTATTATCATTATATATGTACTTTTATGATGATTAAGAATATATAATAATGGAAATAATAAGGGAACCAAAGATTAAAAAAAGATGTTACATTGTCAAATGATATGGTTTCTTTTGGGTACAAACAATATAACATACAGGACATATATTATCTTTAAGACTGTTCTTTGTTTTTATGTTGTTTAGTGTAGTCATAAACTAATAGTCAAACACCCTTGTGTCAAACTTTGATGTGTCAAACTAATTGGTTTTCTTGAAGTACCGGTAAATGCTTGGTCCCTGCATATTCCTTCTTTATTCATCATTTTCAGGTGTGTTGAAGCTTGGATAACTTGAAGTATTTACGTATGTCCCTTCAAAATCCACACAAAGGTGTTTGACTACATAATTTTTCAACTTGAACGTTGTCCATAGGTTGCTGTTGGGGGCTGTCAGACCTACATCACTAAATAGGAAATATATCTTGTGTATCCCATTACAAACATGCAGCAAACTTGGTGTGTCAGCATTATAAGTAAATGTTTATGTTCTTGGCCAGTGATACATCATATAGCTCACATTACAATGCTACACTGTACTTACGGCTTGATATACTGCTAACATTGTGCATGGAAGCATAAATATGTTTTTCGTATTTGAATGAAATGTACATATATGGAATTATTTGACCAATGGGGATATAGGTACTCTGTCAGTGATATTTGTGTTGGTGTATAATGTCTGGTTATTTGTATAATGGAGGGAAAATCGGAACTTAAACCATGTGTGTAAATAGAGCTGTTGTGAGTTAATATGCTGCCAGGTAAACATGGATCGGGTGTATTCATGCAATTCATGCATCGTAAGCATTCATATTCATCTGAAGCACTTTCATGCATCGGGTGTATTCATGCATCTTATGAATCAAGTCACCAGAAGTGCTGTCATGCATCGGGTGTATTCATGCATCTTATGAATCAAGCCACCAGAAGTGCTGTCATGCATCGGGTGTATTCATGCATCTTATGAATGAAGCGACCAGAAGCACTGTCATGCAGCAGATGTACTTTTATGCATCTTTATATTTTTCAAAAGCGCTATTGTGCATCAGAGCGCTATCATATTTGTGGATCATAATGTATCTAAAACAAAGGCATAATACCATTTTGTGATACCACACTGTGTGAATTTATTATTTCATGAAATGATATTGAAATATTTCAAAGCAATACATATTTTTAGATCTAACTTACCATCATATTTGTATCAATACAGGAAGTACTGGGACGATAAAGCTAATTACTGCACGTCATTGACCAAGATGTCAACAGTGCAGTGAAAGTGGTGACACAGGGTGAAGGGGAGGCTCTGTAAGTTTGTCCACAGTTTGTGGCGACGTAGGAAACTGGTGACAAAATTCCCAAACTCCAAATCCTATTAGGATGGAAACCTTCCAGAGAACATGACTCACTGCCACACAAAACCTACAAATAATAATTGGTCAGTGTCTTATGGTAAGGTTTGTAAAGAGGTTTGTAGATTATAAATAAGTCACAGCTGTCCATGGCCATATGTCAATAACTAGTTAATATATGAGTAGCTAACACTGATGTCTAACTACACCATCAGTAGTTAACACTGATTTATCCCCTAAAACTGGCTCCCACAGGAGATATTGCTTGGGCTAGATCAAGAGATATCTACATTGTAGATATCGCTGCAATGAAGGTGCATCACAATGCTTTGCAGACCATTGTGACATCATTGGTTACCATGACATTACAATCAAATGACATCACTAATGTCTCTGCTACTGAAGCTGTTAGCAGTACTTTTTACACTTAAGACACTGCTTTTTACTGTCTACAAGCTGAAAAAGTTGGAAGAACTTTTTCAGCTCGTGTTGAGATATTTTATATCAAAAGACACTCGGGTGAGATTCTCTATGTCTAGCTACATTGTCAATAGTTAACACTGATGCCTAACTACGCCATCAATAGTTAACTCTACTCATAACACTAGTCAGGGGCACGGATGGCCCAGTCGGGGCACTGCGATTCGCTGTGCTGAGTTGCATCCCTTTGGCCCGCCAGAGACCTATGATTGTGGGTTCGAATCCTGGTTCACCCTGATTATGTTTCTAGGTTTGTCAGCACCATACCCATGCTCGTGGGTTTCACCAAAGTAATAAACATCTGAGACCTGCATCACTTCGGGCTTTCCTCCCACATTAAGCTGACACGCCGTGATATAACTGGAATACTGTTAATAGCGGTGTTAAACCCAACTCACTTACTCACTCACTCACTCACTCACTCACTCACTCACTCACTCACTCACATGACACTAGTCAGCAACCCATCAATCCGCCTCCCACAGGCCTTTATGCTGCTGATACTACAGAATATATTTGTATAAACATGTGGGGTGTCATTAAGTTCATTATTGTTTTGGGTGTGTTATACATATACATGCATGTTAAATATTGTTGCAGGGATGCAGCAGTAGACCTAAATTGATTTTATTTTGAAGTATCTTCAAACTATTTGCAAATACTTGTTCATTCACACAAATCACAAGTCTTTCTCCGGTGTATATAACTACTAGGGAAAGGAAGGTACACATAACCTCCAAAGTGAAATAGCACTAATGCAGCAGGAACATCTATGAGCTTTACTCATATCTTCAATGTGATGGCTTTGCAATAGTTTGTGTATGCAGCAGAAAAACAACGTAATGCTTTACAATTATTTGCCTCCTCATCATAAGCACCAACACACACACACACACACACACACACACACACAAACACACACAAACACACCAAGTCACTTTTGAGACCATGCTTGTCGTAAGCGGTGGTCAGGCTTGCTGACTTTTTAATGCATGTCCTTGTGGATCGATGCTCATGTTGTCAGGCACTGGATTGTCTGGTCAAGACTCAGTTATTTACAGACCGCGATCCTGTAATTGGAATATTGCTGAGTGCGGCGTTAAACAACAGAAACAAATTTTACCATAAACATTCATGTTTAAGTCCCACTTTGCACTGTTGGTGTTGGCAGGTCGAGCAGTCGGTGGTCAAGGTCATAGATACTTTGATAATGTAGTCATTTGAATTATTGATTCTGATTCTTTAGATCGTGACCTGTTTTCCATGACACTGTGACCTACTTGGATGCTATTTGCTTTTTCCCAGGAAGTAGAAATCTTTCATTTATAATGATGGTGCTTTGCAATAAAGTTGAATATAAAGATTTTAGTAAATTTACAATTTAATAGGATTCAGATTCAGTGATACTGTTTTAGTGTCCCATGTTCATCTTCTATGGATGTTTGATAAGACACTTTGTTAAAACTCTGTAGAAATTGTTTAAGATTGTGTGCAGGGGTTGAGAACAAGACAGGCAAGGAGCAGCCATATACAATATTGCTACCTTCTTTTTCCATGAATAACACTTGTATGTTTGATGAATAGTTAGTGATAACAGATATTTCATCATAAAAATAAAGACAGCAAAAAATGTCATGAGGTTACCATATTTTTATGCAAGATATAACTCAAGGAATATTTTGTGATCGAATAAGAAATTTATTTTCAAGTTTTTTTATTGAATCAAATACACAATGTACTGCTGATCTTTACTCTTAAAGTCCAATGTAATTGGAAAGGTTATCTGCTAAGCTGTGAAATATTTAAAAAATGTATAAATGCAAAAAAAGGTGCAGTTGCTGACTTGTTAATATTATGCATTGACTTTCAGGGATAATATATGAGGGAGCAACATTACAGTAAGAAAAAAGAATCTCCCCCCCCCCCCCCCCCCCGATTCATCAAGTAAAACATTGCTTTAAAACCGAAACCGAAGGTCCAGGGTTCATTCCCTGGTTGCATCATGAACTAGGACTGGTCGGCTCAGAGTTAGTATACTGTGTCAGAGTGGGGTATTCATATTAAATTGCTTCATTGTATCTCAGTGTGCTAGCACTATAAAATTAGAATTAGTCCAGACTAGTACAAGCAGCCACGCACGCGCGCACGCACGCGCGCGCACACACACACACACACACTCACACACACATATGCATGCACATCGCTATATAAGTGCAACAATCTGGAATGCGACGATTAACTCTATTTCACCTCACCAGACCTTAAAGTGTCGTAAAACACAACTCCATCACTCAAGTCTAATAGATTAACCATGAGGGATATAAAAGGTGCCTGTTGGTATTATTGTTGGCCATGAAGAATTAGTGGCTGTTCAAATAGTTTTATTGTTAGCTTACATGCAATGTCATTTTGTTTATGTGTTAAGAGTATTGGTTTCATGGACGACATGCACTAATTGCATCATATAGATCATCCTCATCATCTGTGCCCAGTGGGTAAGCAGTGTAGACCGGGATCAATGGGCTTTCCATCCTTTTAGTGATATTATTAACTATGACAACGAATGTCCAGGTCCTCTCTCTACCAGTGGCTTGTCCTGGAATAACAAAGTCAGTCTCAAGAAGACTAATTATTAATTCATGTTTGTCTTCTATGGGATGCTCACAAACAAATTTGATTGTTGTAGGTCAGTGGCACTTGTACCGACTGTAGTGATCAGTCTGACAGTCAGGGGAGCTAATTGGAATGCTATGTCACGCTGGACAAAATGATTAAAGCAACAAGAATTCCAATAAGCATACAGCTGAGTATCTCAGTATATCTGGTACTTATTTTTTCAAAATTGGGGCACAGGTAGCCCAATGATTTGAGGTGCTGCACTGTGCTGTGCAGAGTTGCATCCCTTGCGTGTCAGGATCTGCTGGTTATGGGTTCAGCCAGGCCTCATATCCTTCTACAACCTGAATGACAGGCTTCGTCCTCACATACCGTCTGATCAACTGAAATACTGTAGCAACTGGCGGAGTAAGAATATGACAGAACAATTGAATTATGCATATCACAACAGACTCATATCTACTATTGTAATATCAATCAGCCTGTTTGGTTCAAAATGATCTATGTTCACTCAGTCTTCTTCATAAAAATAAGAAGTACATTTGTACTGCATCAAATTCCAATCACAAGTGAATGCTCCTAGCATCACAGAGTTGACTAAACAGATGCATGATACGAAGAACACAATTAGTGTTAGGCTGTAGAGTTTCTGTCAGTCCACTCTTGAAAGATGGAAGGGTGGGTGACAGTTTCAGTTCTAGTGGCAGGTGCTTCCAGAGTGTAGTGGCCCAAAACTTGTAAGATCTCTGACCAATTGATTTCAGTCTGGTTGCTGAGATTTTAAGCAGAAGTTTGTCAGAACAGAGAGATCTTGAAGGTGTATATTTGTCCAAGAGTTCAGAGAAATACTCATGTACAGTATCCACATGGCACTGATAAATGGGAGAGGATTTTGTACTCTATTCTCACCTGAAGTGGCAGCCAGTTCAGATGTTTCAAAGTTGGTGTAATATTTGCCATTTTGGGATACAATGCAGGCTCTTGTATTTTTAACAGACTGACGTTTATTGAGGACATTTTAAAAAGTCTATATAAAGTCTTGATATTACTAAAGATTTCACCAGGAGATATCTTGTTCATCATTGTGTTTGGCTGCTCTTGTGTGATTGCTGTGTTCAGGAATGCATCAGTGACTTTTTTATGTGGGCTGTGAATGCTTTCCACATGACTAAACATGAAGGTTTAGTTATGGACGTGAGTGAGAAATCCAATTATTTGAAAGAAATATGGTTTAATATGGGAGGAGTACCTGCAACACAGCTGTTGCTTAAAGCAATGCAAACCTGACTGGAATACTGTTGTGCATCCATGCATCCTATCAATTTCAGGAATAACAACAAATTTTATTTTGACTCCTATGTTTCAGCTTATTGGCAGTATAATATTAGAGCAATATTATTTTTTTCCTTTTCCACAAAATTTAGAGTCAGCAGATCCATGAAGCAAGTTAAAAAAAAGTGGTCTTATAATTATATCAATCAACACGTCATTCTATTGTTATTGCATATATATTATGTTTTTGATAAATTCCTCATACTTAGGGTGCTAGAAAACCAAATTTTCTGAGCAAATCATATGAGTGGTATATGTCTGTGACAACACTTTACTGATTCTAGTCAAACATTATATGTTATCGAAATCAATAAGTAGGTTTGATAACACATACCCTTGAAATGTCTTCAGCCGTATTCCAATCTCATTAAAATCAGATCTTAGTTCTCGCTATTGCTAAACAAAGATCTGAGGACATCCCATTATGGGTCACGTCAGAACGACCTATCATTCAACCAATCAGAGCGTTGCTTACTAGATCATGAAAGTGACAGACAGGATGTGTTTTCTGATTATGCAACCTCGAAATATTTACTAGAGGGTATTCCGAACGACAGTTACAGATTTTATGATTATATCCATACAATCTAGGCCATATGTAAGCCATGCCAGAATGTTCTTTTTATCAGTTTTAAAATTTTTAACCGAGAATACGTCAAAATATGTTTCAAAGCGTGGTCGCCAGTTTGAAACTTGTGTCGTAAAGCTCGAGAAAGCTGCCTTCTGATTGGCTAATGTCGATTTTTTTGTCAGTCATTTCATTGATCGGTCAAAGTTCGCGAGAGGTCGTTCTGACGTGACCCGTAATGGGATGTCCTCAGATCTTTGTTTAGCGGTAGCGAAAAACTAAGATCTGATTTTAATGAGATTGGCAGTATTCTGAACATAAAGCAATCAAAGGATTATTTTTGTCTAGATATTATGAGT